CTTGTCCTGAGAGGCGACTAACGGGATCCAGTGGTCGGGATCTCTGACTTGATTCATGCAAGTGACTGTATCCCAATTGCTTGGCTCGATGCTCGTGATGTCAATCACTGGATTGTCATGTCCAGACTCGATTATTACCAGACCGCCGTCATATAGCTGGAATATTGTTGTGTGCGGCGATAAACAACAAACAAACAAACGAATTACTGGCTTATGTTATTCTGCTGTTAGTTGTAGGGGTTGTTTGTACGCTGTTCTTCATCATGAGTTTTACGAATCACGCACGTGCATCAACTTACAAATCATTTGTATCCAGCGAATGAGTGAGTGGGTTGTGTTAAACACAGCTTTCAATAATGTTTCAATCGTTATACGCCGTGTCAGCTAAATGCCGCAGGAAAGCTCAAAGTGATGCATGTCGTAGATGTTTATACTTCCTTAAAGCGAAACCCGAAAACGGGTACGAGTAAGGTACAGCCATAAGGGAGATAATCAGGTCGATCCGCGGAACGTGACACGACTAAGGGACGCAACTTCGAATTGCTGTACTCAATTAAACCGTGCCGAATCTAACGTCCTACGATCGCAACCCCTCCCCGACCCCCCCCCCCCCCCCCCCTATAATATATATAATATAATATAATAATATGAAATTGCCGATTCCCTCTTCAATCGTATCAAACGTAATAAATACAATATGTATTCCTTATAAATTGTAATCTACGCAATTTCGGTAAACCCCGGTCGTCAATGTCACGAAGGCTGTCATATAATAGTATGTCTGTGATCACTCTATAATCCCCATGTTGATTACTGATGGCATGATACGGGATGCTGACGCTATTTATCGTTAGTGTTGTACAGGGGAAGCAATCGACGGATCCAGGCAACACAGTGAGGCCCCTTGTTCAATAGAACACCAGAACATTGGGCACCAGAATATAGATCAATCAAGATCAATAATATGTACAAATCCCCAGGGTAAGGACATATCTAAATATCGGGCAGACAACATTGGTGTTTCTTAAAAACGAGCATATTAATATTAGTTCATATGAATTTCAATAACGCACTCAGCACGTCAATATTCCTGATTACTATACAACAGACATTGTATCTCAATGCTTAGTAATGTGTCACTATAACAGGCAACAGAAAACATTGATGTGTTTCGATACCACGCAAAAGAAACTTAGTGTATTTAAATACCTGGTAATACAACATTGGTGTATCACAATATCTGGCCACAGAACATTAATGTAATTTTATGTTACCTGGCAACATAAAATTGGTCTATTTCCACACCAACAAAACATTGGTATTTTTCAATACCAGGCAACATGACACTGATGTGTCGCAATGCCTGGTTAAAAAGGTGAGGTGTGGTGAAATGGGGTTTAACGTTGCGTCTAAGATTATTGCACTGATATAGCGACATGCACGTGTGTGTGGCTGTTTGTACTAGTCCGGACTGATGCCGATTTATAGTGCTAGCCCACTGAGAAACCATGCCGTAGTTTAACATGAATACCCCACTTAGACACAGTATACTGACTCCGAGCCGACTCGTCCTTGTTTCAGCCCCATCATGCCGAGCAACAGACAGGGTAACAACAAATACAGTAAACTACGGTTATAACGAACACGCATATAACGGACTGACCGATATAACGAACTTATTTTTCAGTCCCGACCATTTGTTGTATAAATGTCGTATATATGCTTTTAACGAACTACGGTTATTACGAACTAAAATTAGTGGTCCCTTCGAGTTCGTTATAACCGTAGTTTACTGTACCATCGTTTAACGTAATTTGGTATGACGCTCCGGGCATCGTACCTCGGACTTTCCGCTATCTGGGAAAGAAGCTTAAAGAACATTGATGTGCCTCAAATTGGGCCACAGAACAGTGATGTGTCTCATTACCAGAACATTGGTGTATCTGAATCTCGCGTCACAGATTCTTTACATACGTCGTTCTTGGTAAAGGGCTTCGATGTGCAATGTTGCGTTTAGGTTCAGGTCATCTTGATTTCGAATCCTAGATTCCATGTGATGTTGATCGTTGGTTTGTGAGCACCATACCATTGGTCGTTCGTTTCACCCATGTCATTACTTCTACAACTAGAGTCACTTAGGGCGCCCCTCCCACATTCCGCATATCTACGTGATATAACTGAAACACAACGCAATTAAGTCCACGTGCGCGTACAACATGAGCATTATTAGATCCTCCCCGCCGTGACATAACAAGTACTGTTAAAAGCCGCGTTAAACCTGCCCCAAAGTCACCCATTCTCCATTTGAACCTCCAAAGCTTGACAAGTGTTGACAGCATACATGTACAAGGCCGCACAACCCTTCCGAATACATTCACAAACTTGGACCCTTTCGAGACAAAGAATATTTTTCAACAAATTTTGTTTTTGACCAGGCGACTTTTGAAAAGTGTTTGCCATCCATAAAGCATTATTAGATTCCACATTCATCTTGCATTTATTTCTAGTATCCAAAAGAGGAATTAATTATTCCCGGATGGAATTGCCTTCGCAGAAAAAATCCAAAACACAAAATGGTTGGTCTGTAAATGCACATGAAAGTAGAAAATGAATGTCATGTGAGGTTTAAAAAAATCACCATGAATCACCATGAATCAACCAGACACTTGACATTTCATTATCGCCAAGGGTGTTCGTTTCATAGCATGCCAAATTGTCAATTATTACAATTTTAAACAAAACAGTTCATGGAAGTCATAGACGCAACGGGAGAAAGATTTTTTGTTGTTGTAAATTCTACCATTGATGTGAAAATGTCAATCACTCAAACATGTATAACATTTCTGAATGTCATATATTAAACAACGAATTACATTTTGATCGGTAGAGCGCCTGTCTTCAGTTATTGATAACTGCTTAAAGAGGCTAGGGAAAGAACAGTTCGAACTTATGGTTTGAAGAAGCGAGTCTTTAGTCGAGTCTTCAAGTAAGAAAGATTTTGAATACATCGGAGATGATCTGAATGTTTGTTCCATAGTACTGGTCCAGCTTTGGCAAAGGCTCGATCCCTAAATGTGCTGGTGCGTGTTTTGACACCGACAACATATGCTGGCTACCTGATTTTAGAGATCGGGATGGAATGCTCTGTTATGAGCTCTCTGATGGATGTGGGTGCCAGTCCATGTTGTGCCTTGAATACGAGAACCAGAATCTTGAACTGGATTCCGTGTGTGAGTGGCAGCCAATGAAGTGACTTAGGCACAGGACCGCCTCCGTGGTCTGGTGGAAAGAGCATCCGCCTGGAAAGCGGAAGGACGGTGGTTCGATCCCCGGCTCCTTCCTACCAAAATACTTTAACAGACGGCACTTGTTATTACCCTGCATAGAGTTCGGCATTAAGAGGGTAAAAAAGGACTGGTTGGCTCCTAGTGAGTATATTGTGTCTGAGTGGGGGTGTCCGTGTTAAACTGCGGCATGGTATATGAGCTAGCACCGTAAGGCCGATGTAGTAGGCTCAAAAGAGTGCCCCTAAATTTGACTCTAGAGTCATATTGGCCTAGCCTAGGCTCAAATGACTCTAGAGTTGTCTGAGCCTGGTGAGTCATTTGAGACTCATACACCGGCATAAGTTCGGACAAATACAAGCAATTTTTTTGCTTGTTTCCAGAGCGGGAATGCAAAACTTGAGACAGACGTATGATGGATTATATGGTGTTTTATTTATATATCTAACACGATAGATTCTTTTGCTCGGCTAGATATGGACAAGAACAATACACACAAAATATAGCTGGCCTAAGAAATGGCACAGAGTGTCATTTAGTCAGCCTCGATTAACCCACATAGTTCTTGAGAAATCAGACGCGGGGTCTATAGTTGTAAACGCAGCAAACGTAATTAAGAAAGGATCTTAAGGCTGTCTGAAGCTTCTATTTGCAATTCTTCTTTTTTCGAGAATGACGCAAATGTTACACTTCAAAACCATCATCGAAGTCTAACGATCTCACATTTGTGTCCTTTTCTGTTTGACCTCTTGCATCAACTGTGTGAATTGCTGTGTGGATATCGAATCCAATACCCAATACCCTTGCTCACGGGTTTTACAAACGTCATCAACGTCTACAACCAAAACTGACTCAATTTTTTCCCCGATCATTTTTATGCGTAAGGGAAAAGTTATTTGGGTGTTTCACGCAATCCTCCTGTGCAGGGTCAAGAACTGACGTCATGGATTCAAAGGGACATAACTCTTACCTCTTGGTTGTTTATTGATCAGCAGCTTGTGAGCTGACTTCGAGTTTTGGTCGGAAAGATAGTTGCCAAGTGGCGATGAGGTAGCCTAGTTGTTAAAGGCTTTGCTCTTCAAGTGAGTGAGTGAGTGAGTGAATATGGTTTTACGCCGCTTTTAGCAATATTCCAGCAATATGACGGCGGGGGACACCAGAAATGGTGCTCTTCAAGATCACATCTGGGTTGCGTATATGGCAAGAAAATAATATTAATCTGAAGGCGAAAACTATCAAATATACTGTCGCTTTAAACCAATGATCTACATGGTCCATGGCATTTTGAACTGGCTTCACTATTTAAGCCAATGAACTGTACGTGAATGGATGAGCTGGGTTCAACTTTGCTTTGAACAGCATTTCTGCCATATAATTGAAGAGTACGCCAATAACGTTGGGTGTGGTGACGTGTGGTCTGTCTGTTCTGGCTCTATCCACTGTCTGTCCTGTCTTAAGGTATCGTGGTGATTGTTGCATGAGTGCAACCAATGTGTCTAGCAGCGGCATCATGACTGGTTCTATAAGGCAGTAGGGATCTTTACTATGCTAAAGATAAATGCCATTTTCACTCTTTCCTAAAATTCAGCAGTAAAGTTCAACGAATTGTTTTACTGTAATTGTCTACTTTATAACGCGTTCTATCCTCAGTTTCTTGTTCTGTGTTGCTATGTGGATAAAAATATTTTTATGCCAAAAATAGAGTACAAAACCCAGTTTGTAAAAAGGAACGGTTTATTGAAAGACATGCTGGTATGATTACAATACAAAAGTAATACATACGATAGAAAAAATGGCGGCGATGACTGAGAGGTGACAACAGAAAATACCATATATTGTATATTCCCAGTTCTTTTCAGGTGAACAATTGATTTGCCTTTACGTGTGTTTGTAACTGGTGCCACCTGTGGGCAGGATTCGAACACCTTTTTCGAGAACACCTGGTGACATCCCTACGTGACAGTGATTCAAAAACACATGCTTATGATATAGTCGAAATAATATAATGGACTTTTAGTGGAGATTTTTTATGACAAGGCAAAATATTTTTGTCGCTCTGTATTTGGTGACAATGGAAGTCTGCAGAGTCTAATTTTCATCGTATTCTGTTCTCACGGTCTCATGCCCACGAATTTTGTGATACGTCTTATTGCCAATGATATCCTGTAAATATGTTTAGTAGCAGGCATTCTAAGTTGTTAAAACTTATTCTCAATAGCTTCTTTGCAAGGCGTTAAGAAGTTGGAGTACTAACTAAGGATAACATACATTTATATGTGGATGAACAATTGTATGGCTAACAGTTCCAAAGTGGCGGAGGTTGATCGCTCGCAAAAGGGTGCAGATTGTCGACGCTGGGGGGGGGGGGGGGGGGGGGGGGGGTGTATACGTGTTCGGGATGATGTGGTTCAGTGGTAAGGTCTTGTTTGGTTGAAACGTATGTGATCAGCCTCCCCTACTTTGGTACTGGTAGCCACAAAATCGAGAGGCTCTAAAAGAAACAGTCCAACACTGATGTTGTTTTCAAGAGAAGTAACCTCATTCAAAACACCATCAAAGCCACCGGAAAACCACCATCCAGCCAACAGCTACAAACATCGAGAACAGTGTACAACATTCCGTGTAATTTTGGACATGTTCATATTGGCGAAACACCAAGGCCCCTCCAAAACCGAAACAAAGAACATCGATGCTCAGTTTCCATAATTGACTCTCAGTCAGCTTTATCAGATCAGACACAGTATACTGACTCCGAGCCGACCAGTCGTTGTTGTATTCCCTTATTGATGAGCGCCAGGCAAGGTAACAACAAGTACCATTTTAAAGTCTTTTGGCATGACGCGGCAGGTCATAGAACACCGGACCTTCCGTTCTCCGGGTGGGCGCGCTACCACTAGACACCTACATCAAAACACTCCTACCATTAGTCGTGATCAAGGCTATTACATACATTGGCTTACCATTAACTCATCAAAGACTACAATCAGTGATAATCCCTTTGCTTACACTACTGGCTTCGTCTGTTAGCATTTTTACCTTAAACCTACCGCACTGCTTACATCACAGACTTCCCCACTCTAATGTAACTACACCCCAATCTATTCAACTGTCGAAACATTACCTCATACTTGTATATATGCTTGTCAACCTCATTCTGTACTTGCTTAATGACGGTGTTAGAACCTACACCGAAACATCGTTCCTGATTGTAATAAAGAAGTTGTTCATCCATATATCTTAAATTCACTTACACCCAATCCTTTTCGCTTGTGAATGAAATATGTTAAATCAAATAACAATTACAAAACCCAGTTTGTATAAAAAGAACATTTTACTGGTATGATCATAATACAAATGCAATAGAAATAGAAAATATGGCGGCGGTGGCTGCAAAGGTGACAACAGAGAGTCTGGGCGACAGAGAGGAGTGGGCAGAGTTGCAGCCGTCGTAGTTGCAGGTAACGTAGCAGACGTTGACAACCTCCTCTTCAACTTGCCCCTCCTGACAGGTCTGTTTATAGTCCGTCACACTGCAACTACGGATGACAAATTGTCCTGAAAGAGAAGAAGAGTGAGTGAATCTTTTGTTTCGCTGAAGTTCTTGCGGCAAGGGAACCTGTAGCGTAAGGGAAAGAAACACACTGAGTATTGGGGAACTGTTCTGTCCCGTAAAACTCAACTGGAGACCGACGCCAAAGTTACAGAGTCTGTAGGAGCCTATGTCCCACGGGAAGACAAGCATGGGGTTCTGGTGGCTATTTTTGCCTTGTTTCCCACGGGAGGACAAACGAGGGGTTCTACGGACCTATTCCTCCCTGGTTTCCCACGGGAAGACAAGCAAATGGTTCTGGGGACCTATTCCTCACTGTATAATGTCAAAAGGGAGACACGCATGGGGAACAGATGACCTATATTCTGCCCCTGAAAGTGAACGTGACGAAACACGCATACATCATGCGTAAGTCATATTGTGTAATCATTTGTTAGGGGTATCAAGATACACTTGTGTCAAGATACCATTTATCTGTATCTGAAATATTGCTGAGTGTGGCGTTAAACAACAAACAAACACGCGTTCATTGAATTGATGGCATTTCAAAAACCCTTGCCAATAACCTTTGTACGTGATTCATCAATCACAATGAAGGATACGTGCATGTTCTGTGCAAAGCAATTATGCACCATCCGTTGTATTTTTCCATTTATCCCTAAATTTATGTATCTTTTGCAAATATCTACATATGAGGTGAGGACAAACGTTCCATCCACTGGACCACAGAGGCGGTAATCTATATATGACCTTGAACTCATTTTGATAAATGATAGATTATATGCGATACCACAAATAGCTGCTAAAGTGTTGCAAGTATTGTGTCATGTCATGTCATGTCATGTCATGTCAAAGAAGCAGAGGAAGCAGTTGAAAGGGTTATCAGACAACTCTTGCTTCCGGAAGAATTGTAAATTTCAACAATTCATTAAGAGTTCGGCACTTTGTAAAGGAAATCAAACAGTAAATAATATAGTATACAATTTGTAAAATCGGCTATTTCATGTGGAAGTATATAATACTCGGTGAGCCTGTGTCGGCTCACACACAGGCTACATCACACCATATCAGCCCTCGCGATTGGTTGATAACTTATAATGTTAAAAATCAAGGCTGAAACATGATCTCTGCGGCCCGGCAGCCTGACAGGTATTGTCAATTGAACTGCTGAGTATGCCACTAAGGAAAGTGACATTTAAGACGTATGTGACTGGACTCGACCTAAAGCAATTAAATGGTATTCCTACCCACGCTATGACGGGCACCTGAAACAGGAAAATCTGTTTTCGGAGCAAACCGAAACGTTTGACGGCGATTGAGGACCTTTCGCAAAGTGCATGTGTGTGCTTTCTGTTAAAATATTCTCGTGAATTGCTAGGTTACACAAACTGTATTTGTAGGCTGTATTTGTGGGCACATGTTGGTATTGATGTTATAGTTTTATACTTTTTTGTTTTATCCTGCCGAAGCGAACGTAACACGTCGATGTACAGTGTTGTGTCCATTAGCTGCCGGGAGCCGACAGGTGTGGGTCTGTACCATGATCCTTGACGTGTGAGCTCCATATCCGTGAATGAGTGGATGCAGTTTTACGCCACAGTCAGACAGCTATATTCCTTCTGTAGCAACGGCCTGTTATTAATTGGAATAGGTAAACTAGTTGTTGGTATCACGACCAGCGCTCCACGTGATTAAGTCAGGATGCCACTGTATCAACAAGGTTTAGTCTGTGGGATGCCCGTAAGGTACCCTAAGCGTATCGGCTAGTATCACCACACTGACATATTGCCCCAACTGATGCAGGTCTCAGACCTTTACCATTTTAGTGATGTATACACACATTGGTACATGTATGGTGATAACAAAGACTTATGCGAATCTGAGATTCGAACCCACGATTTCAAAACTACCGGGTTCAAGTGGTGAGGAGGGAGGAATGGCCTTGAGCTCAACACTGTCCATGGAAATAATTTAAGAAGCGATTATGATGTTATAATTATATGAATAAAACATAAACACCAAGAAAACCTTACGCTTGTTAGGTTCGATAGTATCAGGCCATATTCTCGAAACGTTATGTTCAGTTGTCGAAATATCAACTAAGATTAAAATTAGACCCTTCATTTTAAAATTAGTTTTTTTAAGAATATAGGATTAGTAGGAAGAGAAATCAAACGTAAATGTACTCGGTTTTTTTCTTTTTGGCATTTAAACAAAATGTTAATGGTAAAAATGTATAGAGTTTATGTGACAATACTGCCACACATCGTCGGAGAACAATAAACTTGAACAAAAATAAATTACAATTCGTGATTTTACATTCCTAAACGTGATTATCGTGAAAAGAAAAGGCTTAAACAGGAAATTATGCACATTCCTGAATTGTTATTTGGTCGATTCTTAAGCCAAGTAATAAATATTTAACGCAATAAAAGCACAACGATTTGGCCTTGCGATTAGAATTGAATATGTGGACACCCTACGCTTATTTTGATATAAGATGTTAATGCCTCATGGTCTTGGTGAATGAATCGTGGTGTTTCTTGCAATCTCTTCATCTTTTATTTGCTAAAGGTATTTAATTATGTGATTCGTTATCAAAGGGCCGTTTCATTCAAACGGGTGAGGTCCTGCAGAGAAATTAACTATTTCCTCTACGATTCTCGATTACAATAGATATTTAAATATAATAAAAATACTGTTACGAAGAAGGCTTGGTAATATTTTATATGAAAGAGTCAAATTTGGTCCTACAGCATATTGGAGCCGTTCACGTCGGCCAGTGGCCCAACATCATGTCGACAATCTTGGAATGTCTGCATAGGGCTTCTTACGACGCCACATCTTGAAATTAAAGTTGTCGACCAAGCAAGATTCAAGGATTGTAGAATTAACATACTTCCAGTATGTTTGTGGCACTTATTTTTCATTTTAAGATAGACTGCTTGTTCTGTGGTAACAGCTGAATTACCGACTGGAGAATACCTTAGCCACCCACACGCTTGATCGTTCTCCACCCCAAGTTTGCAATTAACAAACACTGATATCTAATGTATAGTTACACCAGACGGAAATTCCATATCAGTCCCCCAAGTCCTAACTTAATCCATTTTACTACTATGAAGCCTTGAATAGGAGTAGACGAGATGACATCCAGGAGTTCCGGGCAACGCTTCAGGAAATCGACTAGTGCAGCTCTCACGTTCCCACGGTAACTCAGGTTTCAAGCGATAGCATATTTCAATGATCTGAACAGGCCGTTCCCATCCCCGCTCCCGCTTGAGGTTATGCCACATTTCAGCGAGTCAATTCTTTATTGTAACTCCAAACATGATAGCCTTAGATCTGGCAGTAAGGTTTTGTTTGTGTGTTGTTTAACGCCGCACTCAGCAATATTCCAGCTTTATGACGGCGGTCTGTAAATAGTCTATACCAGACAATCCAGTGGTTGGCATCATGAGCATCGATCTACGCAATTGGGATACGATGATGGCAAGGATTCAATGGAAATAAGAAAAGGGGTTCAGGATAAAACACTATCGCCAGAAAGATTTTCATCTGACACATGCATCTCAACCTTGCACTTCAGTAGACTGTCTTTTGTCTTTTGCTTTCGTTGTAAATAATTCCTATTCTTGAGAGGTAACTGTTAGCGTTCTTCGCCACATGAAACCTGCTGTCCCGGAGCTTCGGTCTTTGGTAAAAGGTTCGTGTTCCCGCTTTCCCTCTTTGTACGTTCTTCGCTCGCTCTCATTGATAAGAGTATTCTTGCCAGGAATACAGTACATCATCACGACAAATGGGCTTGTCCATCGCTTTTGAAGTTTGTCACCAGATCAGAAAGAATGGATCGTTCTTTGTCGATTTCTGCTCTGATTTTCGGTATGCAAACCACACTTGGGGGAAGTGAACATCCACGCTGACCTGCGCCTCCTGACAATGCTGTTGCAGAGGGTTTTGTTGAAACGTTCTGTTAATCCTCCTGTTTCTGGTTGGTATGAAGATGATACCTTTTGAGTGATTCCTAACAGCTCATATAGTCCTTCATTATGTCCTTGGTCAGTTAACAGTTTCTCTGGCACATCAGAAAAAAACCATATTAATCTGATTAGAACATCAGCGACGGTTTCTACAGGTCTGTCTCCCACTGCTTCCGTTTCTGCCCATTTTGTCAGGTAACGGCAAAATGTATCGATTTCCTGGAAGCAAAAACAAATAACGTGGTAAGTAATGTTGTAATCTCTTACTCATTGCATTTAATGTGGCCCTGTCCATTTCCTTTGGCTGATATAACAAGAACACAATATCTTCTTTGAAATTCTATAAACATATTTATCTGGCCCTTTCCAATATTCATCAATCTAAACAAAGTCATATAGCTGGAATATTGCTGAGTGCGGCGACAAAACAACAAACCAACCAAATCTACATCACCAGGACACAATTACATTAATAGCTTTATATTTAGGAGTTCTTGATTAATGCTTTGGAACCAAAGTCCACCCTGTTGACATGACAGCACAAAACTAACAATTCAAAAGTTAATGAATATTTATGAACACTAATTAATTTTATTTCGTTATGTTTTTCGCAAAGTTTAACGAAGAAATATGCAATAGTTAATAGTATGAACTGAAAAGAAGCCACATCTGTACATGAGCCTAATTTAAACTGGAGAGAGTTTTACCCGTGAAAAAAATGTGCCCCGCCCCACAATTTCTCTACGGACATTCTACTCCTGTTTAAGCCATAAAGTTCTCATAACAGTTTCTTATTAAAAATGTCCTCATGCATGATACTTGATACCGTGGAAAAATAAATAAACCCATTGGATATTTGTTGAGAAATTTGAAAGTTTTTTTAGTTATGCTCCAAAAACGAACCCTACCCTAATAAGAACTTAAGATCAATTTCCTGACATAGAAACACCAAAAATAAGAATGTAACAAAATCCCCCAATAGCCAAATGCATCACTAGTCCTACCTATGTAAAACGTTTGGATGAACAGATTTGCATTTTGCCCCGAAATGAAACGGTACTGTCATTTTAAGGCACCAGTTCACGACTAGGACACTCTCCGTGGTCCAGTGGATAGGGCGCTCCCGGAGAACGCATGGTCGGTGGATCGAGCCTCTTACCGCGTCATTTTACTAAAATACGTAAACACATGGTACTTAATGTTTCACTGCCCAGAAGTTGACATTAAGGGGATAAAACAAGGACTGGTCGGCACGGAGTCAGTATTCAGTCTGAGTAGGGTATTCAGGTTAAACTGCGGCATGGTGTCTCAGTGGGCTAGCACTATGAAATCGGCATTAGTCAGGACAAGAACATACAAGCAGCCACACGCATATACACACGTGCACGCACGTCGCTATATAAGTGCAATAATCTTGAACGCGACGTTTTACCCCATTAAAACCCGGGAATCGCCCGGATATACTGTGTTTCACAGTACATTAGAAATCTTTATCATCAGTTTTTCTCCACACGCAATGCAGACATCGGCATTGTAGAACTGTTAGGTTGCTTTTTGAAATTACCCGTCTCGTGTTGTTGAGAGGTCCAATGAGATTGATGCCTATCTTGGAGAGTACGGTTACAGTGTCATTTAATTTGATTGGATGCTGCGGAGGTTTATCCTACACAGAGAGACAAATTTAGTTTTATGTTAATGAGAAAATCCATTGCAAAAGATTAAATATATTGGCATTTCCGAATTCTATAATTCTATAATCATGTCATTAAGGGCTGTTTTTCACCTCCCTGGTTTAATGCCATATTTTCCGCTGTAGGAAAGGTGGCATTATAACAAGGGATGACTGTTAACTGTAGGTAAAATAATAATTTGTATCTGGTAACTGACAATAAAATAAGGGTCAGGATTCAGCAGTACGGGTTAACGAGGACTCTCTGTATTGCACACTGTACGCCTCTTGGATGGAAGGACTGTAGAATTATTATTACAACAGAACATTTATATGCGTCGATTTGGTTACATTTGCCTCTAGTATGAACCTTTTAAGGAAGCGAGTTAATAATACGCTTATCAAACAGGCTGAAACATATGCTAATTACATGTATTTCCTTCTAAAGTGTTGAAATTATTTGAATATTTTTCTGCGACGCTCTGAATGTATGTAGAAAGATTACATAGTTTTGCAGCTACGGTCATAATTCCTACATTCATATCGCCTGTTTAGACAATACTGAGTATATAACAGCTCGAACAGATAACTAAACCCACCGATAACATTGTCTCACCCATATTTGTTAGAACCGTTTTTATTTTATATATTTAATTTCAGTTCACTACATAGCACTTTGAAACAATTTCAATGTTTGAATGTTAGTTGTAAACTGTACCATAGCCACCATACCATATAGGTTCAAGCATCACTATCCGTTTCAATTACCAACGTTTTAAGTCATACGTATTGTGGAGATTGATCACTGATGTGAGAATTTAATACCTGCTTCGTTTATTAATTATATGTCGTTGACCCGACTCAGCGTCCTCAAGCTAATGTAACGAAAAGGAAATCAGTTTTACTTACGTTTTCGTTTGCCCATATGACCTGCTGTTGGATGGACATGTAGCGACTTCAAGACCTTCTTCGTTTCGCCCTTTTTAACACTTTAACATTTCCATATGTCTCCTGTTTGTCGTAGAGGGCAACAGACATTGCAAGAAATTTGAGACAATTTTTTACTTTTCTATCTTTTCCAGTTGAGGATAAACAACTTCCCACAAGAAACAATTCTGAAAGATACTTGACTTATTCCAATGACGGGAATGAATGTGAACTGAGATATTTATATATGTGTCAAGATGCATACGTGATGGCGGCATCTTTTTAATGATGATCAAAAGCGCCAAATATCCTTTGACTGACATAAGTACACGAGGATATTTTGTCCGTTGCTTCTATATATTTCGTTTGAAAAGCCTGTTTTTTAGAAGTGTCACTATCAAAACGAATGATCAAAGCATGTCAACCAATTTTGTATTTCATGGTTATGCACGTGCAAACTGTGTTTTTCCAAAACGAACTTCAAATACGGGATATAAGATTAAAGCTACCCAGTTCATTGCAATAGTCGTGCTGATTCATTCAAGAATCAAATACAAGGGCATCGAAACATTCTTAGATTATTAAATCACTTTACCGCTTTTTCATATTGCCATACGTAAACTTACATCACATTCCCCCAAACCAAATAACAGTGTCATGTCACAATTTCAAGATTTTTTTCCAGAATATTTGTGAGAAATATTTGTTTTTCATCATATTCTACCCTCTGTAGGGTAATACAACATAAGGCTGGACACATACTTCATGAACAGAATCCTAAGCTTATTAAGCAAAGATGTGTTGACTACTGTTTATATTTATCATAAACGTGGCTAATGTGTGACACTGTATATATTTACTCTAGAAGCTCCACTCTGCGGGGAGGAGGTCCCTTTGCCGTAGAAGAGAATGGCCGAGGGTGCTCCTACTGCTGGGCCAAAGTACCATCCTGCAATGGGTGGGGCCATATCCAATGTACAGGAAATGAACCCTGATTACTTCTACTACGGGGGTCCAAATACTTTCTTACATTAAGTGCTAAGATAATGTTATTTCACTGTAGCGAAATATCGATTTCTACATTTTCGACAAAGAATGAAAAAAGACTAGTTGTTATAAACTGACGTCCAAAAGAAACTTTACCAGAGTTTGAAATCACTCTTGCTCAAAAACAACAAAACATACATGCATGAAGTAAAGTGTATTGAGAAGATCAATATATCAACATAATCAACACTGAAAATGACAATCCTACCGCGACCGAGACTGACGTCAGAGCCCCCCATAGTTGGGTGTGGTACAAAACTCGAGCTTTCAGAATCATGGACAATGGGCAGAGTACATAAACAATCGCTCACGTTCAATAACAAATCATTAGTAGCGTGTGTGACCACCAAATGCCTCAACACACGCAAAAACTCTTCGACGCACAGAAAAAGTCAGTCGTCTGATGAGGTCACGTGGGATTTGACGCCATTCTTCTTGGAGGGCCAAGATCAGTTCTTGCCGGTTGGCTGGAGAGTGTGGTCGTTGTCGAACATCCATCAAGTCCCAGAGGTGTTCTATGGGGGACATGTCGGGTGAGCGTGCAGGCCACGGAAGGACGTTGACGTTGTTAGCTGCGAGGAAGTTAGTGATAATTCTGGCTGTATGGGCTCTAGCGTTGTCATGCTGATAAATGACACCACGTGGCTGCTGTTGGAGAAATGGTAGGACAACTGGACGAAGAATGTTATCCATGTAACGCTGAGCTGTCAAGTTTCCGTCAACGATGACCAGCGGTGTCCTCTCCTGCCCACAGATCCCTCCCTACACCATGACACTCCCTCCACCATATGGTACGACCTCCTGCACGCAACACGCCGCCGTTCGTTCACCCCTTCGGCGGTAAACACGTTGTCTTCCATCAACCCTAAACATACAGAATCGACTTTCGTCAGTGAAGACAACCCTCTGCCAGTCACGTCGTTGCCAACGTCGTACAGTCCGGGCCCATCTCAATCGCAGAGGACGATGTTGCGCTGTCAATATCTGTCCTCTGTATGGTCTAAAAGCCCTGATTCCATGAGCCCTGAGTTTCCTGGCCACTGTCTGTCGACTAACCCTGTGACCGATAACGTCACTGTCAGGAAGCGATTTCGGAGGTGCAAGGTACGCGAGTACCGGTCATCATGGGGCGTGGTCACCCTGGGTCTGCCTGTTCTTGGCCTGTCAGCGGTCCGCCCTGTCTGTCTGTAACGTTGCATCAAGTTGGTAACGGCAACACGGGAGCAACCGAAGGTTCGTGCAATATGGGCGTGGGTGGCTCCCATCTGTACCATACCCAAGGCTCGTTCACGTTGTTCGACTGTGAGTCGTGGCATTTCTTTTTGTGTTTTTTTTATCACTGTGGATGTCTGACTTGCCGTTGCAATCGTTTTATACCCTTACCATATACCCTTACCAGCACGTGCATTTGCAGTTATCCGTGGTAATGGGTAATGGGTAATACATATAAATAAGCAGTAATGATTGTAGTGAATATTTGCCGAAAGACATTCCATTTAGCGTAAAAGGCGAAATAGGTGTAAAAATTATATAAATGGCTCACTGTAAATGAAAAGGCTCCTTAAAGAAATATTTTAAAAAGTTTTTATCTTGAATTGAAAGAAGTGGAAAATAAACCTTACAAAAATTCAAGAAAGATGTGCACTGACAAACCGAATTGGATTACGCTCATGATGATGCCAACCTGAAAAAACAGCGCACAGTGATACTTCTTTTCTGAGGTGATGCTTTTAACATTAATCTAGCACAGAACTGAAATAATGATATCCCATCGGATATAATGAAACGACATTTTTGACAGTAACACCTCTTCTGAGAAGTCCAAAGTCAACCGTTCCATCGCCTATCAGAAATTGATAGTCTCATCGTCAAATTTTCTTCTGTACTATTCTTGACACAATTTGTAAAATGAAAAGCAAAGCATTGGTTTTACATACCCAAATGAATTTTCCCTGAATATCTGACACAGTATTTGGCGTTTGAATTTTTGCCAACACATTCTGTAGGTCCCACATTGCCTGTCTCACACTCAGGGAATTTGAGGGACATACACTGTACACACTTCAAACTCCAAACTGAAAAACAAAACAAAAATAACTCAAATTATTCATGGTATCTTTTCCCGATGTAGATTATGATCACTATAGAATTACCACTTATAATATATTTACAGAATCGGGTATGCGTCGTATCTTTGGCGTTACAGGGATACGGCACCAAATGATGATGATGGGAACATTGGTACAAGTCAAAATAGGTAATTGCATCGGACCTAATTTTTGTCACTGATGCGTCAAGTCTGGAAAGTCGTACTCACAGTAAGGTGTTCTTACGACATTTTAACCATTCTTGTATAACATGTGCACTATTATTCACACAGAGCTCTGATAAACATGTACATGTATATACTGTTACATATATATCTGTGGCAACGTGTTGCTGTTATATACACAGCTTTGGTAACATATATACTGTTACATTGATATCTGTGACAACTTGTTGCTGTTATTTGTAGAGCTCTAATAACATGTATACTGTTACATACATATCTCTGAGATATAACGTGTTGCGGTTATATTGGCTTGTTATTCTGGCCCAGGGTCGATTATTTATAGGCCGTCATGATGAGGCTGGAATTCTACTGACATCAGCGTAAAACAACACACAAACAAATGCCATGAACAGCGACCTCTATTGTCAGCAGTTGTCCCTAGCGGATCAGATATTGTGTATCAGTGTATATTCCCTTCAGCGAGGCTTCTTGTTCGCTTGTGTGGTGAAATTAAAACTACAAATTAACCTTTTGTTTCACAAATTGATACTTTTGTACAGGGATGGAAATGATTCATGTAGTGTTTTCCAAGTAGATTAGAAAAAAATCAAATCACCTTTCGTCGGAGTCATTTGACCTTTACGTGTATGTCGCCAGAATCAGTGTTATGATCATTTTCATCTGCATCTGAATACAATAATAATAATAATAAAAATAATAAAAATAATAAAAATAATAATGAACCTGATCTTATCCTTTTTGATAAATCCATTGAAATCATTTTTATCATAGGATTTTCTGTCCCTTTTGACACTAATGTGATTGACAAGAATCAGGAGAAACGTGGCAAATATGAGGACCTCGCTTTCGAAATGTCACGCTTGCATCCCAAGTATCAAGTTGTCCGACTCCGAGTACCCAGGTTCGCTGCCAGGAATTCAGCCCGCCTGACAATCTGGGTAATGCAGAAGGCTGCATGCAGTGTTGGGGAGTATTCACATTCTCCGAAAAGTTCTGGGTGGGTTTGACTAGGCAGCGCTTCCTGGGAGAAGTCCCATTCGCTGTCTGGGCTGCGTGTAAAGAGGGCAAGGGCCCTGAGTTGACGATGAGTCGAACCAGCCTGACTATGCCAGGATCACCCAATGCTGCATTTTTTATATTTAATCTGTACATAATAATAATGATGGTGATGATATGACAATTATTTCTGAATTTTCAATTTGTCCACTTATGTCGAGCCAGGTCCATGATATGTGACGTACCCAGGTGAAATGATGAGTGCCTGGCTGCCTGTTAACATTCACAATGTCCCATAGTTTTTCTTGTGAGAGATTGTCAGCTTACCAGATCACAAGTATCAGCTCAATCCGTTGTTGGAACCATGCATATAAAATGACGTCATCGTCAATTATTTATGTAACATTTGTCAAGAATTTTCAGGGTCAAATTATTTTTTGGGATAAAATCCCAACAATCACTCCAGACCCCCACCCCCTTCCCCATTGCTAATTGGAATTACTGGAAATAATTATCCGGTAACCGAGTCATTAAAGGAGATGTCACTGTATGAACACCATTCCATCAGGTTTGACTCGATGCAATAAGACCCAAGCAGCCACTGCCAGGAATTATTACTGGAACTGGTATGTGACTATCATACGTCACAACGCAATCAAACGGCAGTCGTGAACCTTATATAACGCTTAAAGTCAATGAATACACCGACATGTGCTCCCTGTTCTTTTGATGGCGGAATACGCCGAGTTGACCTGGGGTAACACCATTTCATGATGTCGGTTAGCTTCTTGTCGCGACATTATCACTACATTTTCAGCCTAATTTGCGATCGATTCAGAAAAGGTTCTTATATAATACGTGTTGAATGTCATTGCTAGACCACTCATATTCTTAAATGATGTTGCCCAAAATATGAATACGGAAACCAATCACAAAATTCTACGTCAGTAGGCACAAAAGCGGTGCTAATATCAACATTGGAACCTATTCAGGCAGGGATAAATCTATTAATTTGTTCTGTATTCCCATTTGTAATAATAAGCCTTGTGGTACTTCGTTGTGGTGTGGCAATGAAGGGTATACTGATGCATGAGATTGTCTGTGGATTTATTCAATGCATATTCAAAAGACCCATGAAGATCCGGGTTAGAATATGTCTTCAGCAGCCCATTTGCAGAAATTGTTGTCGTAAGAGGCGACTAACGGGATCAGATTGTCAGGCTTGCTGATTTGGTTGATGCATGTCATCGTATCCCAATAGCGTGGATCGATACTCGTGATATCAATCACTAGCTTGTCTTGACTCAGTTATTTTCAAACCGCCGTCCTATAGCTGGAATATTGCTCAGGTTGGTGTTAAACAACAAACAAACAAAAACAGCATATTCCAAAGGTAGTTAACAAGTATCCTTTTTTGCAGGGTTGAAGTATACCAGGAGATGTATGTTATATTAATGTGATAGTATCTTCAGACATAAATCGGATGTTTTACCACGTGTCCTATATTAAGTTTGATTATGACGTCGTCAATACAAAGCCCATATATGAAGTGCAAGAAAGGGTCGAGAAAAGCGGAGTATCAATATCAGATCTGGGTAACGAGATGGGTATTTTCAGCTTCAACGGTTTCAAGTCAAAATGTACATCCTTTTGACAGAGTATGTAACTTAGTCAAACAACAGTCCATCAATATTCCCTGAATGTTCCAGCCACATTCCAACAATTTCTATCAATTATTTCAATGTCAGCAACATAACAACAATAATTGAGACCAATCAGCGCAGTCTCCCGGCGCGAAAACCAAACGGTTTAACTACCAGACTGCCCAATTACCCTACGTCCGGGTGACAATTACATACAATGAAACCCTCCTTATCGGGACAAATTTTCGGATCTGAAAAGCATTATGTTGAGGAATTTGTTTTGAGTCAAAAAACATTTCGGGGATAATTTCGGATTTTTTTGAAAATGTTCGATACCACATCCGGACACAAAATGGCAAATTATCGGTGCCGTAGAATAATGGCAGTTGTATATATGATAAGTTCCTACAAGAACTGCACTGACATTTCGAATATCCTGACTAAAGAGGGTTGCCTTGTAAACGGTTAAAGTCATAAAACAGAAAATAGGCCAGGAGTTTTAGAGCCTAAAGTGGGGGAACGCAAAAGAAATTGCAACAGAAACAAATCGTTTAATTTTGTTTCTAAGTAAGAAATACCTGAGTATTCACATACTGAAAGTCTTAAGATATCTTAGGTGGGGAACATGATCAAAATTAAGGTTAAATATGAACATACCAATATTTAAAAAAAACCCCATTAAATGGTGTTTTTTTATATTTTTTAAAGAAATATCTGGAAACTTTATATTTTTAAGCAATATATCTGGTGAAAGGTTATAGGTTTATCTTTATATTGATATAAATCTGAAAATGTTACTTTAAACTTAGATGGATATAGAACTTTTCCAAAAAATATTATTTTAGCACGTTTTCTTGATGAATAATAAGAGAAAATAGTACTTTTTTTCTTGATAACATGTGCTTGGTAAAACTAATCATTTTCTTACTTAAGAAAAAAATTATTTTAGGTATTGTCTCATGCCTTGAGGAGATCATACTGCACAACAAAGAGTCTCCAGGAAAAGAACTGATGAGAGTTATCCCCCTTTGGATCATTTCAACAGGACTGGATATTGTTTTTGTGCACTGCAACGGTCTTCCAGACATTTTTCACTGATAAGAGAGGTAAGTACATGCATTCATAGATGTTTTTGGCCCATCTGTAATTGTAAAAGTTAATTAAAAATCAAATATTTATATATCTAGCCCTTAGCAAGCACTAATTTCAAGAACTGCAGTATCACTAGACATATATGTAGCATTATTAATGGGAGACTTATAACCTTTTAAATGTTGATCAACAGGCCTTGCATCTTCCTAAATCAAATATGTTGACTATCTCTGTTACCACATGATGCTTTTTTTGATGAAATACTTAATTAATTGGAATTATGGACCTAAGGTCACTGACCTAGGAAAGGAAGTTGTCAATGGAAACTATTTTTCTATACAACTGTATTTTGTATGAACCTTAAATGTCACTTCTAACATGTGTCCAAAATTGAAAATATTGAACCAATGATTATTTTATTCTAAAGCCATTGTACTTTGTATTACTATTTATGAATGAGGTAGAATTATAGGTATTTCTTTAACGATACAAGAGAATAATATTGTCTGTTTAATGTTAAGCATGCCTCCTGCAAACATTGTTCATCATAAAGTATTTTTCTTTAACTGGTAAAAATCCATGCATTATGATTTACTCATGTCAAAGATCTAAGGTTGCACCACCATAATTTTAATGTGGAAATAAAAATTTTCAATATATCATGCATACAATCCACCATAGTAATTTTTACATTAATTTTTTGAATACCCTTTCCAAAGCAAAACATGTTTTTGTCGTTAGAAAAATCTTAATATTAATATATGTCAGTGCTTTGAAAGTGTAAATATATATTTTTGATAAATCATACTTATATGACAATTACCATAATTATTATGACATTTTGTAAATAAAAGTACATATATATTTTAAAATTGCAGAAATGTTTAAACTTTAACCTGAAAAACTACAAATACATAAATATGATAATTTAATTTGTTATCTAGTTATAACATATTCATTATGATTAACAACAAAACTATATTTTACATAAGACTTTCAGTATAGTGTTCACTGATGTTGAGTACAAAACAGCTAGATTTATTTCTGTTGC